GTTTTTCACTGCAATTAGATGAGTCTGTAGTCGATTTGGCCAATTTGCTCGTTTACGTTAGACACGAGTTTGAGGGCATGTCCCATGAACACTTTCTGTTCTGTAAACCGCTACCAACAGGAACTACAGGAGAGCATGTATTTCAGCTTCTGAATGAATTTATCGTAGAGAATGGCCTCGACTGGATATAATGCGTCTGAGTTTGTACAGACGGTGCTAGAGCAATGACAAGCCGACCTAACGGTGCAGTTGCACGAATTAGATTGGTTGCTCCAGAAATTAATGTACGCATTACAACATCCACCGCAAGATCTTTGCGGTCAAGAAAATGCCTGACGATTTAATATCTGTTAGACTTCGTTGTGAATTGTATCAAGGCTCGAAAAATTAATTCACATCTGCTTTGCTCAACTAAACAGGCTCACCCCTCTCACTGAAATGGTGCTTTTTTATTAGTTGTTAATAATGTTTTTTTCCGATTAAACACTTTGAGAAGCCACCTTTAAAGGCGCTATATCAAATTAAGTTTATCATTATAATATTTATTATATGTATGTGTGAGTGTGTGCACGCGCGCTCATGTTGGTCATTGAGAATTTCTGGGGTTCCTATGAGAAGATGACTTGTAGGTGGTACTTGGATGCTTAGGTTGGATTAGGGGTGTTACTTGGTCCAAAAAGTTTGAGAACCACTGTTTTAACTGATTAACATACATGTAAGTTTGTGATTTCTATCGTTCATTTTAGTTGGCCATGTTATTTCAATTAAATTGAGGCCAATGCATTAGAACATTAATTATCATATAAAGGATAAGGATTACTTACAGTATGTCTTTTAAGCATAGATACTATACTGCCATACAGTACACACTATATACTTTAGACAAATTCACATACTATATTGTCAAGAATATCGAGACCCTAATGTACAAGGTTAAGAGCAAATTGGCGCTTAGGTTACCCAATAGTCCTCAGACCCATGCAATAGTCTGCCGATAAGAATCAGCTTGTTAGATCTAATATTTTCTGAAGAGTACGTGTAGTATGTGTTGGTTTCTGGTTTTCCAGGGTACATTTTCAATATCACACCTGACCACAGCTGGCATGTCTGTGGTCTTGATTGTCCAGATTTGTCTGATTTTAATCTCCAAGTCTTCCTGTTTGGTTTTGCTGTCTTTGATGAAAGTGTCCACCTAGAACACAATATCCTTATGACTGTAGCCAGCCATATCCCACAATATGATGGCCTCTTCACTTGATTCAACTGTGATTAAACTACAAACAAGTCAATCAGAACTTAACAAAACAGGTCACAGAGTTCACACACATACAGATCGTATTTAATAGCAACAAGATAATGCTGCATGCCATTATATCAAAAGATAACAGCTTACAAACGCGAATGAAAACAAACAAGACCAAATGTATTCCTGATTTAATGTACATCCTGGAAAACACGAGATTGGATGCACTGTAGTATGTGACTTCAAGAGCAGTCATTGCATACAATATACAGTATGTATTGAGATTAAAATAAAGCAATGGATGCCCTCGTGAATGGCACAGTTATACAAAAACAGTTGGTAAGGATGAGCAATTAACTATCACGCATCACTAAACATAACAACTGTGGAAAATAAACTGATTTTATTTTTAAAGCCTAGAGAGTAAGGAATAACTTAAGTGAGTATCTCAAAAGGGCATCTGAGATATAAGCACACAAAAACAGCTACTGCTTTTGTCTTGTTGAATACATCACTTTAATATCTGTATATAAGTTTTAAGGAAATACACAAGGCCCTGCTCTCATGTCTAGTTCTTGTCAGGAAAACTAACAAAATAGGGGGCTTGACTGTAAATTTATCGATTGTTATTCCTAGCCTAAGTTTTACACACTCAATGAAACACACCATTTCATTAGAGTTCATGGTTTTCTGAGAAATCAGGATGCTCACAGCCGATTTTGAATTGAATTTAAAGCTGTAACTTCAATTTAAATGTGTTTGTGTGCTACTTACTAAATCCCTAAAAAAACAGCAGAGAGAGTACTTCTACAGCAGGAGCATGAAAAATCACAAGCACAGATGAAGATCAAGATGGTTTGGAAAATAGTAAAAACGATAAGCTAGAATGATGTCTTCACAACAAATAAGGAAGACAAAATTTAAGTAATAGGTATCTGAGTCATCATGGCCCATCAGTACAGAGGCTATCCTGCTCTCCATGCCATCAAGCAAAGAGAGAGCATGTGATTCCCCACTGGATGGGATTTCAGTCTACTGCAGAACCTACCCTAGAAAAGCTGAAGCCCATACAGCTGGTTGAATAATAATAAGAATAATAATAAGAATAATAAACATAATAATCGTAATAATCATAATAATAGTTTCTATGAAAACAGCAAAATTCCATGCAATTGTCTCATATAGATGTTCAATGACATTGAATGTACCATTTCAAGCGGAATTCCATGTAAAATGTCATAAAAATGCTTATACATATCTAGCAGCAATAAGTTGGGCTTTATAGACTTTGAAACTCCATTTACAGAGCAGCTACGGTCATTATACCATACTATATGTGATAACCCTGGATTTCCCATGGAAATTAGCCTGCAACCCTTAACAGGAAAAGTGGACTGAAATGAAAGGATGACTAGAATATGCCACATTTCAAACAGTTCTGTAAAGGAAAACTAATAATTATTAATAAAGCATGTGATGAACAAACCACAGATCTCCTAAATCACATATGGCTGAAATAGGAAAAGCTGAGTATTAAAGATAATGGTGACAGGGTATGTAGGCTCAACTTTCATTTTATGTTTCTATCATGCACTTTCTCATTTAAAAGCAATTTTATGGACACACAGGGTGTCCAAGTTTTCAAAACTACAGTATGATCAAAAACCACATTATAGACATGACTTAAATGAAAAGCAGTTGGTAAGGATGAAGAATTTGCCATCACAAAGGAACTGTTTCATTAAGGATGTGGTTGTAAATGACAAAGTTTTTTAATCACACAAAAGGAAATATTACTTCTAGATACTGAAATATTAGGCTGCTTAACTCATTAACTTGCTATAATTCAATTTAAGACAGCATAATAAGCACGATTACAGGCACTATCATTATACAGAAATTATGATGAAACCATAAGGGTACACCTGTTTGTAAAAGAAAAACATTTCTCCTTTTTTAATTTTATCTTAAAGGGAATAAAAGCCACTAGCTGTGGAGTTTTTTTGTCCCAGGGTCATACTTGACCATAGATCTTATACTAACTGCAGGTCAATGCATGGGTGAATCAGTTTCCTACAGTTTCTGTCCTGACAATACATAAAGAGTAGAAAAACACTCCCTTACAGAATGTGGAAAAAACACATCATGAAAAACCTGGCACATCATGAACTGAAACTGCTGCCACTCAGCTGGACAGATCATCTCTCCATGCTAATCACTGTATCTCTTTCTAAGGGAAGTTAGTAGACAAGGACAATAGCCGTCACTGGGGGGTACCCTGTATCCACTCTTTAGCAAGGCCAGATGGGTGTAACAGTAATGAGAATAAACAACAAACTGAGATTCAGTTCCTGCTAAAGAGAATAAAAAAAACATCATATCCAGAAAGCAAAACATAAATGACATTCAGCTAAGACTTAATATACGAAGAAAAAAAACATTGCTTCACTGGTGTCACAAACAGAATGGTTCCTATACTGCCAAAAAAAACTTATGCAAATTAAAGAAAACTGTTCTGGAAAGAATCTTTGTCAATGAACTGCACATTCACTATGGTACATATGTCTCCGATATGAACTATGGTACATAACCCAGGGCTGTGCAAATAAACCATGAGGATTATTCAATTTTACCTTCTTCAGCATACATTTCCTACAGATTGAACTTTAGGATTGAGATATAGTGTTTTATTTGGAAAAGCAGTAATTTAGATTTAAAAAACCCAAACAAAGACATTTCAATCAAATTATTTTTTTCCCCCCAAAGGGAAATGTTAAGAAATAACGGTGAGAAGAACAAATAAAATTAGATTTCAAGCTGTAATTAGTTTCTTTCTAGAAATCTGCATAACAAATTGATTCCCTAATCAAAAAAGCTACAGTACAAACCTATAGTATCAATTTAGGTAAAATGATATAGAAAAAGAGACTATTACATGAAATTTAAAGAAAATAAATAAAAGTGTTTGCTGGCATATTTGAAGTACAAAAGTAAAGTGTAGTTAAATACTTGGTGCCATAAATCTTATCCCATTTGTAAGAAACTTATGGCAGCCAGGGGGTGCAGAGAACCTAGCTTATATCTTCAAAGCTTTCTGACATCTCCAGACAAACAATAAAAGGCACCACTCTTTTTGGTGTGACATACCCCACCCTTCAGAAACATCCTGTACCTCACCGAGCAGTTGGCTTATTAGTGAGAAAACAGGATACAAGCGAGGAAAAGTCAATACTTTCGCAGTGTGAACTTCTGTCCTTGCAGGCATCCATCATACCGCAGAGCAAGGAAATCCTTCCTTATGATCTGTGACGGAGCTGCTGTGCACCCATCCCAGGCTTAAGAAAAGCATGCACTTATAATTGAAAAGAATGCACAATGTCTGATTCATCTGTGCAGTCTTTTCAGGTCAAAATGAATTCCCACAGGAAATGGGTTTCTCGAAGGTGCAAGACGACAGACGGTCAAAAACACACACAAAAAATCTGGCAGACCATACAATACAGACACATGCACATACCGACAGGCAGACTAAGACAAAAAATATTGTTTGTAAAGACAGAATAATAAATGAGCACAAGTCTGAACAACGGCAAGCTATACAGTATAAACGTGCTTCTGGAACCTGTGCTTAACACCCACCTGTCAGGGCTCCTCCGAGACTCCCCCTGCGCAGGTGTTTTCCATCTTCGCTCAGTTGCCGTTTGAATTTGAAAGCTTTTCCCGAGCCGTAGGACACCTCAGGGTTGCTGGACTTGCGTACCGGGATGGAGGGAGGATATAAGATGTGATCCAACTGGGGAGACAAGGAATAAAATGCATCTCAGTATGAAACTCACACGGCTTCCCTGACAGAAAATAGAACACAAAGGAGCCCTTCTGATATGTTGTCAAGGGGCAAGAGAGAAAACCTGTCTTCTGACACTCAAATAAATGTCTCTGTTATCAATGTATATGTGCTTTCAGTTTTTAAGTATTGAAGAGCATTTTGCATTTCCCTGTAAAAGGATTTTAACACACTATTGCAAACCCAGTGATACCTCTGTCTAACTTTACCTTGTGTAAACAATTTTACAGAGTAAAAAATGTATCTTCCTCCTTGCAGCCTTGAAAACCATGAGGAGCCCTAACAAATGTGTATCTTGTAATAGGATATAATTTGCCTGGTTAAAACTGATGTCTAGGTTCATAGATGCCATAACTACCCATATTTATGTTTGACCTCTGAAGAAGAAGATAAATGAACTTTTCAAAGCCATCTTTTTTTCCTGTAGCCCAAGATTAGAGCATAAATTTCTTTCCTGAAGTGAAACTACATACCCATCAGTTTTGCTTCCAGCCACTGAAATACCATAAGTAATGACAAATGTCTCTTTAAAATGGGCATAAATAATGTGCTGTATGCTATGATTAAAATAATCTTTCTACATAAAAAAATATTAAGGGAACATTTGGTCAAAAAAATTGTGCAAGAAGACAGTTGGTATATTTAATATTTAAGTCTCTCTTCTGTAAAGGTCCATCATATCCACTATTAAACTAACACTAAGGCAAGAAAATCAATATTATTTAATATATTCAGTAGCCACATACTGTAGCTGTTTATATCCTACTTGGAATAATCATGCTTAAATATGAAAATGTTTCTAATCTTAATTCAGTCTAGGATTTTCAAAATATTTTTGGATGCTTTTCAACCCATTTGGGAAAACAAAATTTGAGTTAAGAATTCAGATTTAATTACTGACAGAGACTAATCAGTGTGGCAGAGGAGTTTTGAAAACCACAGATCTTCATCTACAGTATGTAGTACTGGAGGCTTGACATTCTGAAACCTGCATTTTAAAATTCCAAGTATAATTGGAAACCGAATTATCCTCTTTTTGGTCTAGAAATACCTCTGCATTTTCTATTGAGACTTTCTATCCCATTCACTGTTCATTTACTCCAGCTTCAAGTGCAAATAATTGAACCTTAACTTCACGAACGTGCAAAATATCTACAGTATGCTAAAATGTAGCATTGAAAAAAAACAATTAAGAAATGTTTTATAACAAATATTTGTACAGTATTTGCCCTATAATTTCTAAGTAATATGTAAAGATTTTGGATAAATGTTAAAAACGGGGATTTTAAGTGGTTTCCAACTTAATTAGTAAGACTAGGGATCCAATCATCCAGTGTGTCTGTGAAAGGAAACTCTGACACATAAGGGGATTAATTCACATCCTGAGGCCACTGGAAATGAGACAAGAACAAACCATCCTAGCCATTTAAGCCCTAGAAGAAGTGTATTTAAATTCTGAATAACAAATATTTATAATGCTAAAAGGCAGACATTTTGTGAAGCCAAGAACACAAAAAATAAGCATTCAAGTAATGGGTTATCTCAACGAGATTAATCTCTCTTTCCATTTACAATAATAAACACTTAAATGATTTAACATTAAACCTTCTGATGGCCTCACAGCATCATCTCATGCTTTTAATCATCCTAGGAAGCAGCCTTAATCTAAATTCAACATGAATGCACACAAATATCCATTCAGCCTGACTAAACTTCCATTTGTAAATATCATGCACACGTAGCAGAACACGTTATGAAAATATACTGATTGTTTGAGTATAGTTATCCTATTTAATTTCTATTCTATTCAAACTCACTCCTCCACTCCAGAACCATTTCCTCAAGAGCTCATACAGAATGAAGGACTGGAGACATCAATGGCCATTTTCATGTTTCCATGAAATGTGGGAGAACTTGAAATGATAGTATTCAATACAACACATCATACAAAGTAAGATAGTTACACTTCTAAGCATCCTGACAAACCACATACATTTTGCCTTATTTTCAATTGTAAACAACGAGAAACCTCACACATAGGCTTAGTCTTAGGTGATAGTAATCTTTCATTTTTGGTATAACTTCTTATTCTGGCACCTAACCAGGAACATTACTAGTCTTGAACACTTTTGGATAACAGGTAATAAAAATAAGAGAGCTCATTGTGCTTCTTTAGCTTATGAACACATCAAGTAGGAATTGACTACAACCGATAATCCCACTGTACTTCAAACAAAAACAATTAAAACAAAAAAAAACAAATTTAAAACAAATTAAAATGTAGTTGTTTTTTTTTCCTAGAAATGAGTCAGTCACATAGAAGTACATGCAGTCTTTTACTAGACTGTTATGCATGAACAAACCTGGCTAAAAAACATTGTCTATAAAGCCTGGTCTTCGGTATAACTGACCAGCATTAAGTACATTAAAATAACTAAGATCTGAAAAGTAATGACATTCAACATCCAGGAAACGGTGCATTAAAAATCTAGAATGCAAGGAGAAGGGCAGCTGTGGAATAGTACTGTGCTGTGATCCTCTTCCCTTCAGACCATTTAGCAAATGGAAAGGTAAACTGGGGAAAAGGGAAAGTGATCCCTCTATGTTCTACTACCATGTGTTACATGATGCACATTCCAGAAGGAAGGTGGAGCAATAGTGGTCAAATACTGTAGGATCGCTGATACTGTATCACACAAGATCTCATTATTGCATTATTACTGGAGTATCTTCTCCCCCAGATTCCTTGAAATATGATGATGCAGTAAGGAATGATCTAATTGGATTGCCTACTTTTTGTGGAAAATCTCATGGTAGACACTCATAACTACAGAACTAAAGAAACAGAATTCCTGCTCACTGCATAAGACAATACAGCTCATACAAGCCCAAGTGAAAAGAAAGTACCTGATTTTTTCATCTTTTATTTACCAGTTCCACTGTATTCCACAGAATATTGTTGTGCTTATATAAAAAAGCATGTTAACTAGCAGTAAAATATCTGTTTGTAAACATATGTACAGTATATATAATATTTTAATAAAATGTACACCTATTTGCTACTTCCTTGATATTAATATTCTCAACTTGATATTTATAACAATAAAAAGTGGCGATAACATTCAGCAGTAATTTCTCTGACAGCTAACCATTATACTGTATGTAATAATTATATATAATTATGTCCACATAAGTGTATGATACAGTATTTCTTCTGTTGGAATGAAGGTTCCCCAGTTTATTTTCCATTAGGATTCGATTGCCTTTGACAAAACATAACTAACAAGTTATGGATAGACTGGAATAAAGAAAACTGTTTTCTTTAGCTTCTACCTACCGTACTACAGAAATGAAGGCAGGGGGACTGCGTCTTGAGTTTGTGGAGGGACTGACTGACATCAGAAGGACTATAGGGATACCCTTGAAAGAGCCAGATTCTCCAACTTATTCTAGTCTTATCGAAAAGAGTCACAGTAATCCTACAATCTTTTTCTTCACAATCAATAAAATGCTGAAATAAGACATTGAGTCTGCCCCCCTTCCCCCTCTTCTGAATAATGTAAAATTCATGTGATCGTTTCAGACCAACACAGATAATATGAAATATTAAGCAGTGGTCAACTTCTCCTCCTTCAGTTAAGTGAACAGAGAAAGGTCTGACTGTTCATCTGCAGGCTTAGGAACAATATTAGTAGACCTTTCTTCTGTTACAGTCATAACAAGTGAAGCTGCACTGTCCTCATTTCCACCATCAAAATATGTTCAAACCAGCTTGTCTAGCTTTCCTCTCTATGCAAAACATTATAACAAACAGCATTCATTAAATATATCTTACACCAAAATACATCATATCCATATCCAACTGCTGACCTCATTCCTTGCATTCATGAGCACTGCTAACACTTGAATTTGAATTTCTCTCACTTTATTTTTCTTGATGCTGTCTAAGAGGTAAATAGAATGTCTTATTGTTATCTCATACTTGTTATAGCTACATCCAAAAACAATGTGTCCTGGGTCCTATCCCTACAACCTGAACTCAAAGCTTCTGTTATCAACTTCAATGGATTCCTGAGATTTGGTTTTGTTTATATAGGCTTAATGTATGTTGCTAATAAAAAATGGCCTGTGCTTAAAAACTATCATCCTAATTCCAATTTGCATTTTCTTCCAAATATTTTGGGATGAGCAGTGATAAAATTACAATTTTATCTTAAACTAAATGAGACTTTGAACCTTGTCAGTCAGACAATACTGAAAACTTTAATAATTTGCTGATGGCTTCCGATTTGATTGCTTTACATTCTCCTTCTGGGCTACAGTTTTCACTTCTGCCAATGACGATATCTTCTGGATGGCTGATGCTGATTTACATGCCGATTAAAACCGATAGCTATGGCTTCTGCACGTTTCAAGTTTCTGACAAAAAGATATGGATACAACAAAACCATGTCTTCGACCTTCATAGCAAAACCAGAGTTCTGTCATGGTTTAGGTTCATAGGCTCCCAACATCTGCCTCATAAAGATGGTGACTTTATGGCAGTTGACAGTGTTGGAATAAAACCACTGATGGAAGTAAAAAACTTAGTGTTGTCATTTGAAGCACATCATGAAACATCACAAGAGTATCTTTTTTACGGGCGGAGCGGTAGCTCTGTGGCTAAGGATCTGCATCCGTGGCTAGAGGGTTGCCGGTTCAAATCCCGCGGCTGAGCAAGGCCCTTAACCCCAGGTGCTCCAGGGGTACCGTATAAATGGCTGACCCTGCGCTCTGACACCAAGCTTCTCTCTACCCCTGTCTGTGTGCCTGTGTGTCTCATGGAGAGCAAGCTGGGGTATGCGAAAAGACAAATTTCTAATGCAAGAAATAAAGTTATCTTACCTTACAACTATGTAACATTACTCAATTGAGAATCTCTTTTGTCTAACTCTTGTGTACCAACATAG